GCTGGAAAGATTCACCCCATCTATTTGTCCTGGTGACTCATGTCATTGAGACAGAGAATAATAAAAAATCTGAAATTTTACATTTGTCACCAGAACAAGAGGCACAGGTAAAGCTTTGAATTGGGACACCCACTCCTCCAGGTGTAAATTAAGAGGGTAATTCTGCATGAGAGAACGATTACTGTAACCAGATATGAGAGAATGTTCGCTGTAACCAGAACATTTTTATTTGGTCCTCCTGGATCCTGGTTGATGTCAAACATAAAGGAATGGGCAATTGGTCAGTTTGTGTTCTCCCATTCAATTGATGACCTTTTCCAAGACAAACTGCTGCCTGATGTAGGAATTGAAGTGCCACACCAATTAAATAGTACAGATAAAATGTTATTCCACTAAGGTCAGGGGACAATGAAGTAGACTAGGCTACTCTACTCGTGTGTGCGCTACAATAGAGGATCACAGCATGCTTAAAAGAAAAAGGCACATAAATATATTATACATATTATACATGACTATAAGTACATTATAGTCAATGGTAATGCATGTAAAATGCACTAAAACACAATATGCCTTTAATTAGTGTGTTTTCAAGTCATTTGTCCATGTTTCCAAGAAACACAGACACAGCCCACAAAGTGGAGACAGGAAAAGATGAAAATGAAAAGGAAGTAAATGCATGCAAACTTGGCATAAAATGTGTCATGCACTGTATTACATTTCTAAAATGCAGTGCGTTTTGAGTAAAATGCATGTGTGTTTTCTAAGATGATGGTGTAAACAGGCCTTTAGTAGTAGATCACTGAAGCATTATTAAGCAGGACAACCAACTTCCAAGTGATCAATTCTTAACACCCCATGTGCACATACGAGTATATACAAATAATAAAATGGTATGTTTCTGTATTACATTTTATTTTTAGAATGTATATTGGATGATGTAATAAGAGTCTGATACATGACATTATTACCTGCTTATGTAATTGTAGATTCATGTGGTGAGATCTTACCATCATAGTTTTGGGCCTTTTCCCTGCCATGGGCTTTCAGTTTTCTCCTATATAAATCTGTCAGCCACCACATCTAAGGACTTGTCAGCTTTTTTTTTTTTTTTCTTGGGTTTAGATACACTTTATGTTTTTAGTCTGTCTACAGCTTTCACTGCAGATGATCTCACTCCAGACAAGATAAGCAAACCCGAGCACCTGGTTAAAGATCGGATCTGAATCAACAGATGCTTAGAAGCAAATTTCCACTGCATTTTCTTTGAGTCCATGTTATGTAGCCCTTATTCTTTTTTGCAGATGCTTAAAAATATCTGGTCACAACACAAGCCTAGGTTAAAACAATAGTTTTCACTATATTTGGAGAGGTGTTAAAACAATACATACATATTTTAATTCCCTCACAGGTTTGCCCTTTCATTGAAAACATTTTGTTAGTAAGATTAAATGTCCCCCATTTTATTCTGTAGTACCTATCCTAAAATAAACGAATCTTACATTGTCTATTGGAGTGTAGAATTCCATGAGATTGCCATGCTCCAGTTCCCATGCTGCCATTAACTATATCATTTAAATACATTGACTGGACATACTGTAAACATGGACAATTTTTTTGTTCTTTTCTTGCAGCTATCACTTGATGATGACGGGCGTAGGTTGGTTTTGAAGTGTATCTATAGGCAATGTTTTTTAATTTGGGGGGATTTTTCCTCACTTTTTGTTCTGGGAACAATGTTTTACCAGGCAGAAAGTGGGGGAAAATCTGGAACTAGTAAACAAATATTGTTGAGTTCTACCATTGTTGGGGAGTTTCCTTTACTTCCTGCCTGGTAAAAAGATCATCTATTGGACAGTCTTTCCAAAACAAAAAACAATTGACAATAGATACACTTTAAAATAATGTCAAGTAACATGTCACAAGTACCATCATCTAGCTATGGGGCTACCAGTCTTATTGGAATAGCGAGCTAAATTAGTACCCTATATTCCAAATATGTAATTAAAATAGAATTTCTTCTTGTCTCTGATTGGATTTTTTGTTTTCTTACCACTACCCTTCTCTTCTAGAATATATTTCTCTATTTGAAGTCAAGGAAGTACTTTTACTTCCTATATTCCCTTTCATGCCAAAAAAAAAAAAATGCTTTGGAAGCATTTTAGTAAACATCATGGCTGGGAATGCCCCATACATTGTTCTATTTCTTTAAAAAAATAATGTCAGAGTTTATGTATTACCAGCATTGTCTTACTTGTTGGAAAAGATGCCCTATATCATCAAAGGTTAGCCCCCCTTCAGGTTAGCCTCCTAAAGCTGACACGATTGAACAAGCTTGCTTGATTACAAAGTTTCACTGTAGTGGTGATGTCAATTCTATGTTTACCTGCAGTGATTGAAATTATGCTACTGAAATAATTTGACCTGAGGCCTTGTGGACAGGGCTTGCAAAGAAGATCTGAGTCAAATACAGAGTTTTAATATGAGGATTCTGGGAAATCCTGATTATATAAATGTGGCCTTTTGCCAGTATTCACTAAAAGAAATGTAAATTTTACTTTGCCTGTCATAGAAACCATTCAGATAACTATACGTTGAAAATAAAAAGGAATAGCAACCAGATTTACAGATAGATAAATGTAGAGAACAATGTGATGCACGTTTTGATACTGATGTTTCGTTTTGCTTGTACATCTACAGATGTAACTCTCAAAAGGCTCGACATCAAATCATCAAATAGGTCATATAACACTGCACTACTCATTTTAACCTAGCGATATGAAATCCACAAGATATTTTAGACAGATGGTTTATGTCAGAAATAAGCTCCTATTACCATTATAACTGAATTGCTGGTTGAAACTGCAAGTATCTGTGTCATTTCCATATGTTACACAATTCATGAGATGCTGCTCCTGGAACTGTCACATCCTGTAAACTGAAGTATCTTCCCAATATTAGGGATATGATTCTGTGTCACTTTCTGCCGGATAATAATGAAAATTTATTTATTTGGTACAATATTGCTTGGCCAGTATCTTCCAAAGGTTTTATTATTAGGGACTTCAACTGTGATGTTTCTATTATCCAGTGCAACATGTTGTGCCTTTTTTGTATAAACCTAGTTTATGTATATTAGTCTATCAGATAAAATAGCCTTGCTGGATTTTTGAAGAATTTGAACATTAAAATGTTCAAAAGGCATAATATTAAAAGAAACTCAAAAGTTACAAGTCTCTGGAGCTCTTCATATGATGAGATGAGCAATTTTCTAATACAGGGAGAACTGGGTGAAGACAGGCAATCAATTACATCTCCTTTCACTACGTTCAATGTATGCTAACAGCACTAGCAGAGCTTTCTCAGGTACTACCAGTTTACACAAATAGTGAAAGAAGAGATGACCTTAGATTTCCTATTTCTAGATGTGCCATGCATCACTAGTACAATTATCCAGGGGTTGGGCTGTTCGTGTGGGTTCAGAGTAAGGAATACATTCTGGTTGCAGTGGATGACCTTCACATATAGACATGTATTACTCTTAAACTGGACCTGAAGTGAACATTTGCTATATTATAGGGATCATTTAGAAACGTTAGTTGTGTCTAAGCAGTATCCTGGAAAATGTTCCTTTGTCTGGAATTCCTCCTGAAATATACCACTGCACTTTCTAGTATGAAAGTGTGTCTAAGCATTCCTGTACATACAGCCTCATAGCCCTATTTCTGCAGTGTGCACAACAAGGCAGTGTAAGTCAGTAATGGGGACGGATCAGCTGCAGTGAGTTCACATCAATATTGGTGACTAGTGCTTTACACTCTATCTGCCTTTTTTTGAGTACAGCTTTTAGACTTCAGTTCCCATCCCACAGTCCACTACATATGGCATATCTGGAAAATCCATATTATGCCCCACATAGAGAAGATGAAACCACCCTCTCAGTTAAGATTCATTTTAAGGCCACAATTTTCAGTTTAAAAAATAGATATAGGCTTTTTTGGGTAACCCATAACAGCCAAAAGGTGCCCCCTTTTCATGTCCATGTATCACAGAAATAGGAAATGAGGGTACAGCTCCTCGATGAGGTCAAAGACAAAAAAAAACAGATAGAAATTGTAACTCTTCCCCACTCTATTGGCTGAAATTAGCCATTTAAGGGACCCTGCTACTTGAGAGAACAATATAAAGCAAGCAAATGCCTGAACACTAGCAAAATAATACATACTTTTTCTACGGCCCATGCTGCTGAACACAGCTCTCACTGGCTCTTCCTGCTAACAACCACGTCACTGTTGTACATGGCAGACAAAATCTATTTTACATTTTTGTAAGGTATTACAGTTGTAATGTTGAGGAGCTCACAGAGCACTCGCACAGGGTTTTTCCATAAACCAAAAAGTCTTTGTTCTTTTTCTTCAGGCAACTCACAGGTGAAAAACACAACTTCAGGCTTAATTTCAGCATATAACACAAAGTATATTGTCTCACTGACTCAAAGTTGTTCTGTTCACTCATTGTCCCAGTCCCAGGACTTTAACATTTGCTTCAACAAAACACTTCAGGGGAACTTCATACCCTTTAACTGGTTCCAGCAGCTTTCCACACACCATGCGTGCCTAGCTTCCAGCCTCCCTGGCTGTTCTGTGTGTGACTTCACCACACAACCTGGCTTGGCACTTGTGTGCCTCCAGCGCACACCAGACCACCTCGAGCTCTGATCTAGCTTCTTAATGAGGCTGCTCTCAGCCACCTGATCAGCCCAGACACTTGGCTCCAGGACTAGAGATTTCATCCCACTTAGAGCTCTAAGAATTCTCCAGGGCATCAGGTCCCAGCTACAATTAGGAAAACCTGGAAGAATCTGAAAAGCCAGGTTCTTCCTTATAAAATATTATACCCTTTGGTACATGCAATTATGTAAATCTCAATTTTTATGTTTTTACAAAAACGTTGTGAATAAATAATTTTTGCTGCATTGAAAATGTTTTTGTTTATACTCTTCAGGACATGGGACTTGTGACTGTGGAAAATGTCAATGTGCGTCTGGATGGTCCGGAGAAGCTTGTCAGTACCCAACAACGTGTGACTTGACACGAAAGCAAAGCAACGAGATGTGCAAGAATTCTCAAGGAGTCATTTGTTCAAATGCAGGTCTGCATCCCTTTTATACATGAAAAACAAAGTTGCTTTCAAATGTAACTTCTAGGTCACTCAAACTTTTATATGTGTTATTATCATTAAAAGGTTTTTCAAGAGTAATGCACAATGTACTTTTCAAAAAATGCCAAGCTGCTACTACATAGGTTATTCCAGTGCATAATATTCTGAAAGGAAACTCAGATACTGTAATTTAATAGGAAAAGTAACCGTGCTGAGCATTCTCTCAAACTGACATAAACTCCAGCTGTGCATATTTTTTAAATTCAAAAGATGCAGTAAGTACCCTTTTCTGAATGCATAATTCAGATAATCAGAGATGATATGTACCTGTTCTAAAAAGTATATTTTCAATTTTTAAATTTGTGATCATTAAAATGTAAGATTGTAACACACATACACAGACACTGTAAATGTGATGTGTAATTCACATATTGTATATGCCCTGATCTGTTTTTACTATATAAATGATTCCTATAGGTACAATGATGCCACAGCGCCATAACAGAATTCTTTATATAACAAACCCTATCATAAGTGTCCTAAATGTGGTGA